TCTAAACACACACACACACACACACTCACACACACATACCCCTGAACACACACACACACACACACACACACACACACACACACACACACACACACACACACACACACACACACACACACACACACACACACACACACACTTTGAGTTCAAAACTTCATATATGCGACCAAAAAGCTACACATCAATTTCAATTCTTAACCTGACCTTTGCCTTGGTTTCCTGTATCTTAGTCTGGAAGTCCTGGGGGTCCATGCACCCTCTCTCGTCAGTTTTGACCATGACAACGCTGTCTAAACCAAAACCCAGGAAGGAGGCCGCAGTAGAGATGGAATAGTGAGCCTTGGGGAATTAAACAAGGAGTATTATACTGCCAAATCATGACATGATCATGATGAGTGAAAAGGAGTACATGCATTAAATCACTCAACACTGCAACTTCTAATACACTGTCATAGCTAGCACACTACTGAATCTAAAACACTGACACAGTTAGCACACTGTCACATCTATCACACTCATATACTATAACAACAAACACTGCTTTAAACAATGCCCCACATATCACAGAGTCATGTTACACACTACTACACTCAACACAGCAACATCCAATACGCTACCACACCTAACACACTACCGCATTGAACACACTATCACACCTAACACACTGTCACATCTAACACAATGTCACATCTAACACACTGTCACACCTAAAACACTGTCACATCTACCACATTGTTGTCCCACCTGATCAGAGGCAAAGAGAATCATCTGTGGCATCCCAAAGAGGCCAGTCTTCTTGACCTGCTTGTTGTACTGATACCTGGCCACGTGAACGGCTGTCAAGTTGGAAAAGGTGCCACCTGAATACAACAAAAGATGTACATATAAAACAAACAAAAAATTAAATAAATAAGAATGAAAAAGAAATGTTACCCAAAAATTGCAAGTATATGGACTTAAAACTAACTGCCTAACAGTAAAGATTTATACATTGAAGTTCTATCTCATATTATATAAGCTGGACTGATGTATTCACTTAGTCAAAGTTTATAATTGACGTATACGTAATAACCCTTCCTATAAAAGTCAACAACAGAAAATACTTCTTTCTTCTTTAGCATGTTATAAGTGAAGAGGCTAACAACAACGTTTAAAAACTTCATGATCCAGCAACCTGCATTTTACCAGGATTGAATAAGCCATCGCCATCTTTGTATCCCACAATACTACACATCTTCTGAACAAGGTAGTGTTCCGCCAGTAGGAAGACGGGTGCTACTTCATAGGTGTGACTAAAGAATAAACATATACATAAAATCACACGGAAAAAAAAATTACATGAATAAAACATTTTGGTGTACAACTCAATACATGCAAGTTAAAAACACACTTAAATCAATATATAATAATAAATCAAAAAGAAATTTAAATATCAAAAATATCCTATCCTGTTACTGCTTAATACCTTTGACAGCACTTCATTTCATGGCTCAAATTCAAACATTAAACCATAAGTAACCTTCCTTGGGATCAAATGACTTTAAAAGAGAGGCAGCACACAGAGATTAATGAAACAGTTAATATTTTATCAAATAATAATGTATGCTACTACCAATATCACTACTTCTACAGTACTGCTACTACTACTACCAGTAACTACTACTACTACTATCACTACTACTACTACTACTACTACTGCCACCACCACTACTACCAATAGTATACTCATATCAATAAGAAGAAAATGAAATATAGTGCAAACCAAGAGAGCAGATCTCCCCTGTACCTGTTAGTATTCAAGGCATCGGTTATCCATGACCCAGCTAAGGAGTAGGGGTCCACGCCAGCATACAGCTGGTTGAAGAACCTGGGGTGGCCTACAGTGGAAAAGGCGACATGCAAAAATCATACCCACTTTCTTAGAGGGACCATTTCATATATTCCTCCTTTCCCTACTGTAATGATTTTGTATTTTATTTCCTCCTTAAAATGTCTACCATCTCTTTTTTCATCACATTGCTCTGAGAATTTAAAGATAAGTTAAGGTTGCTTTTGTTTTTCTGAAACTTAGAGATGAAAACATGAAAACATTTTTTAAAAAGCTGAAAAGATATGGAGGAGAAAAATATGTAATGGAAAGACCCATATACCAAAATATCCAAAAAGTGTCCTCTATTGATTATCCAAAAAGATTATAAAACAGAGCGATCCAGCACATTCACACATATATAGTGAAACAAATTATCAAAGCCAACAAGCACAATTTGTATGCTCTTTTAACAAATTCAAAGACCTTGACTATAATCTCACTGTCTGAATTAAAAATGTGCATCCCTGACCCATGCAATGTTAGTAAATATAAATATATTTATTCACCAGTTTTGACACTATATCTCACAGCCTTTTCACACAGCTCCAGCAGCTTGTCATGGCTCTCAGGCATGTCTCCGACTGGAAACTGCATCTCTTTCTTTAAGAAAACAAAACAACTTTCATCTTATGTGAACAAAAGAAACAAGTTTAAAAAGGTGAAATAAAAACATGTACTGAAAGAAAGAAAGAAAGAAAGAAAGAAAGAAAGAAAGAAAGAAAGGAAGGAAGGAAGGAAGGAAGTACCTGTAGCTCCCCAGGCTGTAGGAACTCCACCACTTTCCCATCTCTAGACTTTCCTTTCTCAAGGCATTCTCTAATCATTAACTGGTGAACTTTGTCTAGAAAGCTGGTTACATCATTAGCGACAGGGGCTTAAAAAAGAGTTGGTAAACTGATGAAATACTGTCATTGTAACACTATGCTAAATCATGTATCATTTATACAAGGTAGTGAATATTAATTAATTGACTTAGTCTCATAATATATTTCAATGTAAAAAATCATGAAATTCTACAATCCTTCAAGGAAGATGCACATGCCCTGCTTTTTTAAATAATTCTAAAAGTATCTTTTAACTTATAGTCACAATATGAGATCCAAACATTTCTATTGTTAATGAGCAAATATCAGCTTGGCAGTTGGTTCATATATGATAATTATAAAACACAAGCTGAAAAACTTTCATGCCGTTATAGCATTCATCCATCCTGGACGTAGGCATACACCTGACTGATGTCTGTAGTGTTGTTACTCAATGACTGCTAAGTGGTAAAGCAGCTAGGACCCTATTATAAATGTAATTATCTAATATTAGTTTACATTGTTCTACTGTCTATACATACTAGTACAGTACCTGTCATTCTGAGACCAGAGCTGTGCAGTGATTTATTTGTGCAGTGAAAACTGAAGCACACAAAACTTGGGCCAGGCTTCACTAGGTGAGATATGTTATAAATAAACCTGAGCTGAAAGGCAGAAAAACACATTATATCATCATAATTATTAAGTATATTTTGTATGAAAAAAAACTGCATGCATACTAGTACTGTTGTGGGGTATAGATGATGATTGCATAATGCGGGTTCAGTGCTAGGGCATATACAGCGCTAGGATGTTTGTATTAATGCCAATTTTTCTTTTTTAAGCGAAATCAATTTCTTAGTCAAATCAAATATAAACCAATTGTTTTCTTTAAATGCCCGAGGATACACGCTTGTCACAAGTCAAATACCCATTACAGTGGAAATAAAGATGTAAAAACCACCGAGAAAAAACTTTATCTGACAAAGCAAAAGATGCCCAAAAATAGTTTGGCAACTTGACTAAATTTGTTCCACTGATTCAGTCAGTGCTCGCGCACCAAGGGAAGCTGTTGTGTCAACAACTTTGCAGAACAGAAGTCAAAACTCACCAAAACCATCATCTAAGTTGAGTACTACGTATCAAGGACATCTGGTGTATGACTGCATTATTTCTAAGGTCACTCACCTTCTAGATAAAGCGTGCAAAGCGACGAAAGAACAGTCATGACCTACTTACCGCTATCAGCTGCTTGAATCAATTATTGCTTCTTTTTTCCAGAAGAGCTCCAAGAAAAGCCATGGAGGTGTAAAATTCGGAGAAAAATGCTTGTATTTACAATATTGCAAAATTCATTGAAATTTATTGATTAAT